TTTACCCATTGAGGGTTGTCGGGCTTAAAATAAAAACTTAAAAGCAAATTTAATTTTTTTTTTTTTTTTTTTTTTTTTGCGACGTTGAGATTTGCATATGATAGTGAGTCATTTTTGTCTGCTTAGTTATTGCTTTTTGAAAACTTGCTGCGCAAACCTTTACACATTTTGTCACAAACTTAATTGGATATTACTGGGATTTTATTTAAATAGTGCATACTTGTGACATTGAAGGAAAACAATACATGGTTTTTAGAAACTAGAAATGTAAAAAAAATATGAGAGAATTTTTTTACTTTTTTGTAACACAACTTTTCACTTTAACTGCAGCTACATGATGTTTGTGTCATGACGCTATAACCAGGCTTTGCGCATCTGGAGGCTGATGTTTTTAACTCAGTGTTCTTTGTAAAGTAAATCAAACTGAGTAAGATTGGAGTGTCTATGAAAATTTTGTTTGAGGTCTTGTCTTGTCCAATATAACATTTTCATATACTTTGATCTGAGCAACTGCAACTGCAAGGTTCTGATGCTTGATTTCTTCTAACTGTCATAAACGATGTGGTTGAGTTGGTGAGGAAACGCAGGTAGACCCAGGTAAAATGAGAATGATGAATTTAATAGTGTAGCTCACAGTCTTGAACAGGCAGCACGGCAGAAAGTTAGCACACAGCTAATACCGGTAGCAACTGTCAAACGGACATGTAAACGAGCTTAGGTCGATGCAGGACTTCACAGTTCAACTGCGTACGACCCATAAACAGATGTAGACTGACGGCACAGGGAAACAGTTACAAATGACGACATCACACACGACGAGGATCCGACACAGACAAAGACAACAGGTGGGGTTAAATACACAGGGAAGGTAATCAGGGAACGGGATACAGCTGGGAGCAATCAACAGGGAAGACAGATTCACAGGGGAAACTGGACTAACACAGAAAAACACAGATCCTAACACTAACCAGAGCACATTCTTCTACGATGCTTCCCGTGTTCTTTCACGCTTTGTGTCAAACTCTATACGTTGAACTTCTTCAGGCTTTACTCTGTTCCTGCCGCTCATCCGTAAAGGTCACGTTTGGGGAGTTAATGAGCCATAGTTGTCCAATCAAAAGATTCTCCCGTCTGAGCTGTGGATCTCTGCAGCTCCTCCAGAGTTAGCATGGGCCTTTTGGAAATGCTTCTGATTAATGTTAGGTTGCGTTTAGGTGGACGCTCATGTTTTTGTATTTTTGTCATTTTTTTCCCCAAACGACAATTGGAAAAACGGATATTGTTTTATAAACGTCGTTGCAACTAAATTAGGCTTTTTTTTTTTTTGGTCTATGTGGTCTATCTAACAAACCTCTGAGAACAAAAATGTATTAAAAAACGATGTATTCGTTTCATTCTATTTCATTTCACAATCATCCATAAATAAAAAAATGCAATGAACATTGTGGTTGTGATTTGACAAATCAAGAAAAGATTCAAGGGTTGGGGGTGTCGGTGCTTTTTCAGTGTAGTATAACTTTCACACCAATCAACGACCGACTGCAACCTGGCTATGTTACATGATGCAGATGCAGGGTTTTCTTTCTTTCTTTTTATGTTATTTTATTTCTCTCCCCCCTTTTTTTGCATGCAAGGTTCATCTTTGCCATGTCACAAGCACAGGAGCATCCTCCCCATCTAAGCACGAAGCCGTCTGGCAGCTTCACGTGGAGAGCCTCTCGGCATCACCTGAATCATATGACCTTCCAGATCTTGTACCACTGCAGCCCACAGTGGGCTGGCACACATTCTGTGTCTAGACGGGCCGCTGACGCGCGCCGCTCTCTTACCAGTCGGTCTGCTGGTCGTCGATCACCAGGAGGATCTTGCCGTGGCTGGAGACGCCAGCCCGATCCGCCGCCTCGGATAGGGTTGCTGCCGCAGCGGCGGTGGTCTGCTTGACAGCATTGGATATGGAGGAGAAGAAACCGGAGCCTCCTCCTGCAGGCTGCGGCTGAGCGGCGGGCTGGCGCCTCTCCGCCGGCCCGGGCGACACTGCGGGGCTTTGCTGCGGCGGGTCGGGGCGTTGGAGGTCGGTCATGTAGCCATTGGGCAGATTGGACATGAAATTACTATCCGAGAGACGTCGACGCAAGTAATTCATGGTGGAGGTTTGTTGAAATGACGTAGAGAGAAGTAGGTCCAAAAATAAAAAAATTAAAAAATAATAAAAATCCCACCTACTGACACAGAACTTGGTGTTCGGTGAGAAAAATAAATGATTGGACTAGTTTCCCATGTGCATAAACGGGAATCACCGCCACCTAAAAGAGAATAAAGTCGGGTTTTTATTAATTAGATGGTGATGATTAATAATTTCAGGGTTTTTTTTTTAGAGAAATGAACATAGTAAGAGATCGTGACTGCTACAGCAAAGAAAATCAGCCTGCAGCTAGATTACAGCTGAAATATGCACAGGTTAAATCACTCGTTTGAATCATATAAAATCCGTTTAACGAGGCTCTCCCGCAATAAATTAAGCATTAAGGTATTTGCTGAAGCCTACCTGGGAATGTATCCAAAGTGATCCGCCCCAAGGATGGATGAGGCGATGGTTTCCTACTGGTCAGTCACAGGAAAAGCCTGCACGCAGGTAACCGTCATGTCCTCTGGGCGCAGAGCCAGGCCGTGCATCCGACTTGAAACCGGAGAAATAAATACAAGCTAAAGTCTTCCCAGCATCCCCGCCGCCCTGCTTCCCTTCAAGACCCAGTTTTTTCCGTCTGCCCTGCGTCACTCCCCAGTCGTCCTGAGGGAGAGGAGGCTGCGAGGCTGGACAGTTGTCAAGGTAACGAGAGGATGCAGGAGCTGATTTCCGGTGCTGTTCGGAAGTTAAAGGCATGCTTTTAAAATCACATTCTTTTTTGACGAATTTCCTGCATTAGATAGCATTTTAAAAAGACAAGAATTTAATTGACACGTGCCTACTTATTTACAGTAGGATGCTGATAGTTAAAATAAATACAATTCTTATCAGACCAGATCTTCCTGCTGATCTGTCCAGCATTAATTGTGAGGGAGAATATCAGACTTCCTGTGTTCCGGCTGTATTTAGGTGCATTTGACGCAGCAGCGTGATGGGTAATGAGGGTGGTGCTGATGAGAGCAGTGACAGGGGTCGTGTGCCTCTGACACGCGTGAACCAGCTGCTGACTCCGCGGGACAATCAGGTCGGTAGGTCATATGGGATCCCGTTGGGGGCCAATAGAAACACATATATTTATTGCTCAGGTGCTCGTTTGATTTTCAATACGGTCGATTTTTAGTGATGCGCCATCTGTTGGTAATCAACAGACCACCCCCTCTACATATGCCCTCCCGTGGGAGCCCTGTATCCTCTACTGTACTATGGAAACTACACTGTGGTGGAAACTTGACGATGATCACAAGGGAAAGAGACACTCCTGCAATTCTCTCTTGAATCATTAATATAGTGGAGGGTCAATGTATAGCTCCCCCTCTGCTCATAAAATAAACAAAAAAAAAGAGTGCTTATCTCTGGATTTTTGCAAGTTTGTTGACCTGTAAACACGTCATCCACAAGGGGCGTCTCCAGAATGTTTATGTAAGGGGTGACCAGACATAACAAACTAAAAGCCATGAAAGAATTACATGAGTTTTATTTTAATGTCAGAAAAATAGCTCTTGAAAAAAGAACTAATATGATTCTTGATTTTCTCAAGCAACCAATGTGTCTTTAAATTCATGTTGTCAGGAACACGCTTGCAAAATGTAGCGTCAATGATTTTAGGGAAACACCAGCAAGCACCTTGTTTAAAGTTTAACCACTCGTTTGTTGTTGTTTACACAGATGTCTACGGTTACAATGAAACCATTTTGGAACAATGACGTCCTCAAATGAAAGCGAGATTCGCAAAGCAGAACTTAAGCATATCAAACAAAAGTTACAGTGATGTGAACATCACATCACTGTGAACAACATGTGAACGTCTGTCTGGTTCCCCAAGAGGGAGCAGGCAGAAGAGTTACACAAGAGTGTGTGTGTGTGTGTGTGTAATATATATATATATATATATATATATATATATATATATATATA